CTAGATCCCCAAACCCTAAATCCCAAAAGGTAAATCCTGAATCCTGGTCGTTCTAACCATGACCTGAGCTCGCTCATTGGGCTTCCCCACGCGGCCCGGGGCCTGCTTAGGGACCGTCTGGGGGTTTCCCAAAATTAGGGGTACCTTTTGATTTAGGGTTTTTAGTCTAAGGATGTTGCTAATATGTGGTCACAATTTCCGGAGTCGTCGGTAAGGGGTGGGGATATCGGTATCAGGCTTGGTACTTTCATGGGTGCATAGCTACAGCTGCTCTGGAGATTTATGGGAAGTAGTGGGAAAATACACCGGGATGATATGGGATAATGCAAGGTACTTACAAGGGATCCCAACGCAACAACTTGCAGGATTACCCGAACAAAATTGCATTAAATCTGACAGTTCAAAGGACTTCTGGAAAGTCCAAGGATTGTTAGGGGGTTCACAAGGACACACAAGCTCTTCTTGAGAAATCCAGACTTCTGCTGTTGGGTTTTGAACGGCGTGCGTGACAGGAAAATTTCCTAGAAAATTCAGTGCTGCATAAGTGGCGCTACCAATGACGATGATCATGATGATCCTGATGATAATAATGATGATCCTTGCTACCAGCTTTAGTACTCACTGGCCGTCACTGTTTGGAGTCTGGCCGTGCTTGAGGACACCCCTTTCATGATCGGACTCAGCAGCCACGAAACCTCGCAAAATTAGGTTAGCCGCGCTGGCTAGCACTCTAATTTGAATGCAAACACAGCTTCCGCAATCCCTCGCTCTGCCACTCCTGCAGGTATCCACGCGTGTTCTTAACATGTTGAACTCCTATTTCAGACTGAACGGCAGGAATCCTAGAATCCGTCACGGTACAAGAGAAGCATGTCCTTCCAGAAACGGAAATCTCAAAATGCAAGAGGTTACATCGATGCAGGTTGGTGCCTCAGTTCTGCATGCCGTCCCATAACACCTAGAACTGGTACTATATCTTTCTGCAACACATGGTAAGACCTCCTGTGCTTTACAGTAGTACGAGTACGTAATTCTTCTGCGGACCCCTGCGTCAAAGTCCCCAACAACTACCCCCCAGCGCTCAACGCCTGTACAATTTGCGAATGGCTGGGCCCTCTAAATGGTATACCCAAAACACAGAGATCTTCCGCCAACACCTCCAGATTTTGATGTAATGATACTCGACCAGAAACCCTTCTTGTCTTCCAGCACCCCCAAACTGAAACCACTGCGCTGCGAAATGTTATGTACTATCCAATCAAGCCCTGCTCGTATTCGTTCAGGCCGTACAGTGTCCGAAGACCAAGCCACCATCAACCAAAAGCCAATACAACTCCTACCCCAGCCGCGGCCCCAAAAAAAGACTTGCAAACCTCCAAGCCGTACAATTCCTAAATCCCTCAACCCTAAGACGTATACCCTAATCAAAACATCCAGCCTGCGGAGGCTGTAGGTTGCGCATCCAATCACCCCGGCCTCAGGGCAAGCTAGCGTGTATTTCCTGAGATGAGGAGTACAAGGGATGGTGGTGAGGTGACATGGCTTTCTGAAAACAGGACTATCCTTCTTCATCCTAGGACAGTTACGAACCACCGGCGGACCACGGTACATCATGAAGGGGCTCTCGCTTATCATCACCAGCCGATTTGCGAGGATCCCTCCTGAACTCTCTTGACGTGTCCTCAACTTCGAGATGCACTTCCACAAACATGTGGGGCTTCTCAAGATCCCGGAGCAGGGACAAAGTTGAAACAGTCCCAAGGCAAAGGCTTAGAGTTTAGGGTCATCGAAAACTCCTTTCACAACCAGCCCTGTTCGCACCGCCCCATGATGTCTGCAACCGGAGCACCAACGAAAAAAGCAGGGCATTGACCTTGCGTGGCTCGGGGGGGGTTCTGAACCTCTCTAAAAGTTGTGCCCCATCTCAGCTCGCAACAAAGCTTAGCATCTACTGAAGAGAAAAAGAATCTAGCCCCATATACCACCTATCCGTTTATACCTTATGGTTTATTGGTCTGGTAGCAGCCCCGCAAGGGGCTGCTTGAGAGTTCCCTCTGGGCTTCTCACAAAATTGGCCCGGCCCGTCGAGGCACCATGGGCAGGGTGAAGGGAAGAAGTGCTGTAGGGGCCGAGACAATAATAGTAGGACTTTGGGGTATGTTGTTACTATACAGCGAATGCGACGGATAATCTCAGCAGTTGTTTGAAATTCCATAGAGGAGCAGGGTGAAGGAAAGAAGTGCCATGGGGGCCGAGACAGTACGAGTAGGGCCTTCGGGTACGTATGTTCTATTACACTTTTATTTACAAAGAACACGACGGAAAAAACCATTCCATGAAAGGGATTGAGCTCTTCCTTGAATGGCTGGCTTCAGTGCTTGGGGCTGCTGGAGACGGGGCTGAGTGCTGCAAGTTGCATTGAAGTTCCGGGAGCTATGAGGGCTGCATAGCTACTTGGGAAGTTTTCGGTGGTTTGGCTGCTGTCTCATGGCTGGCGGCTCTTGGCTGTTGCACGTACTTGAGCACAAGCCGGTATGACAAGGTTTGGCTGACTGCCATTTCGTGACCTCGGGCTATGATGCGCACTGCACTTGATGCAAGGAGGGGCTGTTATGTCCGTGGCCTTCAAACATCGCCAAAATTTTCGCGGTCTGACCAAGATTCGCCATGCTGCTCAGTGTCTACACCTTTGCAGCCTTGCCTGAGTGCGACACAACCGGAGGTCAAAAGGAGGACCGCATGAGCTAGGCAGCTAGGCAGGCAGCGGCACGCAGACTCTGAAGGTTGGCTGGCCATTCGAGACATCGGCAATGTTGCAATCTCCATTTCCAGCGGTACCCTATGCCTTCCTGGCAGTGTTAGAGCTGTCATACCACCACATTGAGAACTTGTTGTTTCCCAGGTCTTCGAGCTTGAGCTTTGGTGTTGCCCTGATTGCCGTGGACCTTGCAATAGGCCACAGACATACTGGACGTACCACAAGATCCACAAGTGACGCTCGTTCCACGATGGTAAAAGGTTTTTCCTGCGCGAGTTCGACAGGCGGTTGAAGCCCATGACGCAGGCGCGAAGTGGCTGGGCAGTTCTAAGTCACATGGAGCCGTGAAGGCAACAACGAGTGGCACACGCAGCGAAATGCTGCAGACGAGGTTCTGCCAAGCTTCGCGGCAATACCACCCGAACCCTCTAGATGTACCTGCGGCCCTGCGCTGAGCCAGCGCGCCATCGACACCTAAAGGCCTACGACCTTGGAGGGCAAACTGGCGCGAATAGCTGAGCTTGGCAAATCCAAACCTGTTGCGAGGTCTGGGTCCCGTTGAGGCGAATCCTCAACCCTTTGAGATGCGTGCACCGCACGAAGTTGAGAACCGTAAGCCACTTGAGGACCGGAGGATGATCAACGAACTCCCTTGCCATCCAAAAAAGAAAAAGCATGCGTTGAGAAGAAGGGAGGGCATGAGTCACATGTTCCACCATGTCGGGAGAAAGCAACCCTGAATCGGGACAAAGGAAGGCGCGGCCCAACCCAAAACTAGCGCTGGACTTCAACACTTGCAGTTGTCAAGTGGTATGCTTCAGCCTGAAAGGCAGCGCAGGACGGCTCGATGCATGCCTGTCAGGAAAGCTTCAATAACGGCAGCTTCAGAGTTTGCAACCATCGGATGTTTGAGTCTAAGGCCGAAGGTCACAACCATAGTATGGGCCCAACATAGCTAGTATATAGCCCAAGGGCCTGTGAAGTTGCATTAGAATCTGCCGCAAAGGCTAAAGAGTGGTGGCTCAAGGCACTGAGGGAGCAAACATTAAGTGAGCCACGGGGCTGTACTTTGGCCACCTTGTTGAGGCTTCGTCAATTCCTTTCACGCACGTGTTGGCCAGGACAGTAACATCATTCGGCCCCCATGTTTGTCAGTCGAAACCACCTTCTGCTGGCTTCGAAGCATTGGTTGCGAGTGCATGACGGCACACTTCCAAAACTTGGCGTATGTACATCTTGGATGCAGGCAGTCCAGGCTTGCTGCGCTTGCATTGCTGAATCCTGATGACAAAAATGTAGAGACCTGTTTGCTCAGCACTGATGTCGTGGTCTTCCCCCATGCCGCAGCTTTTTTGAGACTATGGTAACCTGGTCGTGACAAACCCGAAGACGCCCGACCCAATGGACTGAAAGATTACTCTTGTTGCTTATGCTCTTTTGCCGCGTATGCTCCTCAAAGGTCTGTCTCCATCTGTGTTCCAGCATGTCAAGGCACAATGTAAAGACCTTTATGCAACAACTCAAGAACCTGGACTTTAGCCAGTTTGGGACTGCTTACTCCATGAACCACCATTCAAAGCAAGGCCGCTATAATTTTCACAGAACTTAGTTTCAACCAGCTCCATGTCCGCTGATCTCAGGCAGCTCTATGGACTCCTGCCTCCGTGAAGGGTCGTGTGCTGGCCGCGAAATGAAAATTTTGCGACTTGAATTTTTGCTACTTTCCCGCCTGAAGAAGTGCTGTGCTTGGGTCAGCTCAAGGCTCCAAGCACGCGTTCTGCTCCTCTGCATGGATGGCCAGTGCGGAGGCCAGGTGAAGTGCAAGAAGAGCGACGTTAATGGCCGGCCCTGAAAGGTTTTAAGATGAGATAGGAAAAGTTCTTCGTATGACACACGCTTCGCACTGCTTGACGCAGCAAATTCGCTTCTTTTGCCGCCGCCGCTGTCGTTCGAGAACATCCAGACGGAGGGGGCTGGGATCTTCCCAGCCAGCCACACCTCAGCTTTGCCAGAAGCCAGAGCTGAAAACCATGTAAGGCAAAAGTGCATGTGCTGGGCCTTTTTGGGGGGGGCCACAGCAAATAATAGTAATAGTAACAATTATACAAATAGGAACAATAATAAACAATAGTAGCATTAATAGTAACAAAACTAATAGAATAATACGAACAATACTAGTGATAATAATTGCCCAGCCTTCAGGAAACACGCAGTTGGGATGCGCACGTCCCACTCACGGCTTTGGGGCAAACTCCAGGATGGACAAAGGGTGTGCCTGCAATTACTATTACCATTATTGTTCTTCGTATTGTTATCACTATTAAGTACTAATGCTAGTATTATCTCTATTACTACTACTATTTCTATTACTGGTAATTACTAATATTATTGATTACAATTATTCTGCAGCTTTGCTTGGGCCTGCTTCCTTCTGTTGTAGAAGCCCGCTGTAAGCGCGAATTGGGGGCCATGGGATGATAATGGTTCCAAGAGGGGCACCAGAATTGGGGCAACTGATTGTCTCTACCGCAGGCCCTCGATCCTGGACTCTATGTTGCAGACAGCCTCAAGGCACAGTGCAAGTATAGACAGTATAGAATAATCATCGAGTAACTGGGGGCAGTATCCAAAACCCTGTGCTTGACTTGCGCTCCTCTGTGTTAAACACATAGCGGTCCAGCTTCATCCCATGAGTCTCGTCCTGCACCGCGCAAGCAGACACTGGACCCCAAGGACTGCTAATTCAGGACTTGACTGGGCTAGACTACCAAAAAGCATCAGCACAATATGGGCATCACCATGCTGGTAGAGGGCAAGGAAGGCCTGGAGCAAAAGGAGGTACTTCAAGGTTTCCGCAATGAAGAAGCTTTCCATCCTTGCAGGTTGCAAGAAGCTGTGACAGCAGTGGGTTCCTATGGGAGTTCTAGTGTTCTTCTTGCTAATGCTTGAAGAAACTGCTTCCGCTGCGGTTGGGACTGTTGTCATGGGCATCGTCGCGATGTCAGAAGCATCAGCAGCACAAACAGTACCCAATTCATTCTGGGTGGCGTCCAAGCAAGTTGTCATCATTCGTAACTTGGCACACATACTGTAACGCCCAACGCGATGCGGCCTGTCCATGTAGGTCTTGGAGGTCTGGCGCACATCCTTCAAGGAAGCATACCTCTTGGCAGCTTGCAAAGCACAAGGGAACACAGCACATGACGTGAAAGCCAAGGTCTTGTTAAGGTCCGGACCCATGGGGGACCCAAAGCCATTTCCTCAGTCAGAGAAGACAAATTTCAACTGTTACAGTTGTCGTTAGGGCTTAGGGTTTAGGATCTCACTTTTTCTGGTAAGGTAATTCAAAGGACACCACTGGTTTAAAGGTTTAACACAGTTGGTTAGGATACCACTTCGACCCATGTTCGCAAGGCCTAGCAGAACCCCAAGTCCTACCATAAATTGATGTCCCAGGCCTCTCTCTAGCTGAAACCCTGAAACCCGTGAAACTTCCTGAAAGCTATGATTGAACATTGAGGGCGTAGCCATCGCAATGGTTTAGCGGAGAAGATCTACAGTTGGGGACGATTTTGGGCTCTTTGAGAAGGAGGGTTTGAGCTGTTTCAGGCAACTGGACCATGAAGAGCCTTAGGTCTTTTGAAAGCCTGCGCGAGGCGTCTGAAAGCAGATGGCACACTGGACTCTCGGGAGGCTTGAAGGCCCAGTCCGCATCTGCAAACTCGACGCGGACCCCAGCAAAGGGGTTTTCAGTGTGTCGCCGCAAGGCCTCCAGCCTGGGTTGCTGTTAAGGAACTTAAATTAAGTTACCATAATGATATGATGGGTATTTATAATAGTAAATAATAGGGGCTTCCCAAATACAGTAACTTGAATTAAGTTCCTTAACAGCAACCCAGCAGCTGTCTCAGGAGATCCTTGGCTTTGGGCAGAAGTTGCCGGTCGGCTTCGGGGCCAAGGCTTGTTGCGGCCTCCAGCTCCTTGACGCGTTCAGGCGCCTTCTGCAGACAGGAGGCCATGAGCTCAAGAAGTGCCTCGGCCTCAAAGTCCAAGCTTTCCAGGAAGCCTGGCACCTGAACCTTCCGTCTCCAGCTATCCACGGACATCTGCCTTGTTAGCAGGTGCACAGCGTTCAGATCTAACTGGGCCAGCACTGCACTAGACTGGAAAAGCCGCAGCGGAGGGTGGCCACTGGTGGGCCGGTGAATGCCGAAGACTGCTTGAGCCACGGCACGCTTCAAGATCCTGCTCCCGTCCCTCCGAGGTGGCGAGTCGCTCATCACGGCCGAACTTGGCGAAGCCGCTTGGTCACTTCGCGTGAGGCCATCTTCAATCTCAGCGAGGCTCATCACCTCTCCCTGTACCTCCAGCTGCGCCGTGTTGAGCAGCTCCACCCAGGCAGTTAGATTGGCTGGAGCCTCTGAGATTCCGAGTCGAGCAGGGGCGGTAGCCGCAATCAGCGTGGCAGCGTTCAAGCAGTTTAACCAGAAACTCAGGCACACTTCTAACTTCTTGCCTTGCAAGCTACAGCACTGCAACTCAGCCAATGGTTCGCTCAGGCGCTCCAACCTCCGTGCACGGCACTTCCCACTCGAGGCAGCGGAGTCACCTGGGGCCTGGGCTGCCCGGAAGGCCCCACGCAGGAGCTCCTGGGAAAGCAGCTCCGGGTCCCGATCCGTCCAGCTGCAAAAGCGCCGGTGGTTCAGCACCGAGGTTTCCGGGCCCTGGAAAGGTAGCAGCTCAACACACGGAGCTTCAGGCTCTCGGGGCTCACGCATTGACATGAGCGTCTGCTCATAGGCTGGGCCCATGGTTTGTTGAGCATACTCGCCATCTTCGTCTGACCAGGGGCAGACGAAAGCCAAAGCTGGATCATCCTCGGCTTCTGCCAGCTCAAGAGCTGATGGGTTCGCAATCGCCAGAAGCCGACGCGCGTAGCGGATGGAGTCCGGTGGCTCCGGTTCCTCGGACATGCGGTGCAGCTGCAGAATTTCACCTAAATGATGGGGCTCCAGCCTTGCCATCAGTGATAGCATCCGATGTGTTGGCAGCGCGGCAGGCCGATCATCGATCGCCAGGTGCGCCCTCAACAGAAAATCATCTGGAGCCGACAGCTTGCGTGCCAGCGCAGCGTAGAGCAGCACTGCCGATGTCCAGAAGTCTGTGGCCAGGGCTTCAGGTAGCCCATGCTGCAGCTCATTTGCAGCTTGATAGAAGCCACAGCACAAAGGACATCCCCAGGATGGGGCAACCCCAGAGCCATCTCTTCTCAAATCCTCCTCCGAGAAGGCGAGTGCAAGGGCTTCGAGGCCTGAAGTCGAAGCAGCTTCAGAGGGCTCCAGTGGCCCCAGCTCAGAGGGGGGACATCTTTGGTCCCACTCCACCAGAACCTGTACCTCCTCCTGAAGCTGCAGAGTCTCTCTGTTTGAGGAATGCTCTGCATACCAGAGGTGCAGTTGTAGCGGAGGGCCATGGCGGTCATGGCGGTCCAGTGCAATTGCAGCTTTCGCTGTCCGGTCTGCCACCTGCTGCATGGGCTCGGAGACCTCTGCTTGGAAAGGCGGCTTTGGAAGCACGTAACGCAAGCACCTGGATGTCGTGCGCTGCATATGCTGCAAGCCCTGTACAGCTTCAGCAAAGGGAGACTTCATTGGCCCAAAGAGGTGCAAGGTCTGCAAATATGCCAAAAAAGCGTTCGTTTGAACAAAGGCTTGGAAGAAGGGCTTATCCTTGGCGCAGATGTTGGAGAGGAATTGAACCTCTTGAAAAGACTCGTGCACCGAGGCAGCCGTCGCAACCTCGCAGGATGGACCACGGGACCCAGGAACATCGCCCAAGAGATCCTTTACTGCTGGTCAGCTTACCGGTTCTTAGTACAGACTAAGGGACCATAATATATTCCTATATGAGCAGCTACCTAAATTATTAGTAAACAGCTAAGTAAAAAATCGCTTTGGGGGGGGGCCT